TATATATATATATTTGGCATTATTCTTGGTCCTCGTGCTGGATTTTTGGATAATAAAGAAGAAGCAGAACTGGCTTCCTACAAATGTCGGTGTTAAAGATGTCTTTTATTACTCTTCGATAAAACTGTTATTCAGCCATAAAACTAAGGGTTTCATTACTGCTCTAAGACTCTTTGATAAAACAAGAAACATAAGCCAAGACTAATAGTTATTCATTTCAATAGATTTTTTCACTGTCCACTAATACAGTTGTTTTCCAGTTGTAAAACAAAAAAATCTGGAAGGAATGGCAATGTCTAGATATAGAGCAGATATTAAAAAGTAGTTGTTTTGGTGAGGTCTGCTGAAAAAGTCAACAAACTTAAAACAGCCTTTGTGTTAGTGAAAAAACGATGACACATTTCCTTTTAGGCTGTACCGTACATAACTCAAGTTTAACCGTAGATGAAGAACTGCTAAGGATACATGCTCTCAAAGCATGTTCCGTTCAAAAAAAGTAATCTAGAGAGATGAGGAATTGTATACTGCAAAGATGGTACTACTAGGATTCTTCCTGCTGTAAATTCTGACGTGTATACTTCCATCGATAATAAGATGTTAACAGTTTGTCCTGCTAAAAACTTAGCGTGACGTCACTGCAAGTGCTCTACATTTTCATTCGCCTCTTTCACAACTATAACCTTTAAGGATTTCATAAGATCAATTTGGTACTGTATTTTAACCAAAGTCAACAAAGAAAAGTAGATTGTTTTTTTTGATCTAAAACGTTTAAGCTTCTACTCTCGATTCTGCGGCACCCCTGTCCCACTGAGGTTCAAAGAAGACTACAAAATAATACCTATAAAATGTCAAATTATGCTGCAGTTGCCCAAAAAATAAAACATTCAGGCGCACAAAATACAGCTCAAATATAGAGGAAACTATTTTATCAAAATTACAACAGTGCAGATGGCAAAAATAACGGTAAAAAAAATTAATTTATAATCTTACTGAACTAGATTTTGTTTAAATTGGGAGATTTATGAACAGTAAGCTGTTAAGTTGCGCTCAAGCGATTGTTAAGCAACTCGAAACTGAACTGGTTACGGCTCCTCAAGTGAAGAACTACTCAGGTATGATAAGTTTCCCAAAGGCCATTTACTTCTACAGTTAGTAATTTAAACAACTGAATCTTACACCATACGCTCGTACCCTCGCCACGTAATGACCAATCACTTTATAGATTGATGATTCAACAATGACAGTACATAAAGCTAAAAAACAACAATAAAAAATGCTTAACGACTGAGACCAACGGTAAGTTTACGACCAAAAATAATAAATAATATCCTTTGAGAAAAAATCTCTAGCACTTCACCAGCAATATTCCTTATACGTCACTTAGCATTCCAACCGCGATCTAAACGGCTAAAAGAAATTGATATTCGAGAATCTCCGTTGATCTCAACAACTCCTTCAATCCCTCTCAGCGATTGCGTTCAAATGCTGGTCTACCTCATCATTTGATAACTTCCTGAAAGCAAGTTCTTGGAAAATTTTTTTAAAATCTCGTCCCCTTGTTACTGACCCTGTGACTAGAGCGGAGGAAAAAGTTAACAAATGACTTCCAGTTTACGAGTATTTTACAAGAAATCGTTTAAAAATAATAAAAACAAAAACAAGAAGAGATGGTGATTTAGGTCAGTATAAAACAAAAAATACCTAAATTTGCGATCTTCTTTTGTTACAACCGCAACTTCAACTTCGGTTGCTTTTAAGTCTATTCCTAGGGATGACTGTAAACATTCCAAAGCCAACTGCAAAGAGAACCCGATTAGTCAAACATTCGACAGGTAAATTTATAAAAAAAAAAAAAAAAAAAAAAAAAAAAAAA